GGAACGAATTATTCAGAAAGTTTAACAGCATGCACCCGTCACTTGTGAAGAAGAACACGACAGTAGGCTAAATTTCTTTGATGTTCTATTGAGCAGACGAGGAGATGAATCACTGCACAGAAGCGTGTATAAAAGAAACAAATTTGAATGTCAATAAACACACTTCCTTAGTTTCACTGCTATACGATACAAAAGAAACTTAGTGAAATGCTTGACAGCCAGGACAAGGAAAATCTGCTCAGATGACACCACACAGAGTGAGTTAGAGTGGATTTCGAATTCATTGATGGAAATAGGTTATTCTCACAATTTTATAAAAAGTTTATGAATAGATCGTTTTCTAGTCAAAGATTTGCTTTGTGTCAAACAAAGGACAAGTAGTTATCTAGTTTTGCCACCTCCATGTGTATTTACCAGTTTAATTACTCCTGTGGAGACAGTTATATCGGGCGTACGACTAGGCAACTTAACCAATGTGTTGCGGAACAATCCAAAGCTCTGTACAGCCTTTATCCCTGCCTTGGCGAGGGAGAACTTAATGAATGACCTTACTTATGAATCTTAAAATGTACTCCCACTTTTTATTTCATTTCATTTCGTCACCCCTTTCACACTACTACTATATTCACATTCAACTCACCGTCTTTAACATCCAGTATCACAACCTTACTATCCTTTTGTGTTTTTCAATCTGTGACCTACACTGTTTGTCTATCTGTCTGTCGTGACATTATGAACATTCGTATTAACCTATTAACAATCCATCTTCCTTGTTGTTTTTATCCCACAAATTACCCTGATTAGTTGATATTTTATAAATATGTTGAAAGTTATTTGATATTATCTAATTGAAAACAATCTTGTTCGCTTACATATTTTGTTTTGGTTTTCGTAGTGGGTCATTTTTGCACTGAATTTTCAGTAGGTTTCATGATGGGAAGGAACGGAACTATCAGTCTGCAGAATCCCACTAGAGTTGTCTACAGAAAACGCAGATAAACTGTATACTTCAGTCAGGTCCGATTTCGCTGCATCTGGTATCAACAGAATTGCCTCACTGATTTTGGTCCTCTTAATATGAACGAACAGACGCTTACGACACCTTGAAACATTCATCTACTAACGATCTTTCGTATGCTTTACTACGTAATTGGTGATAGATCTAAATTTATTTCTAACCAGTAAAAGCGCTTGTCGCTGTGGCAACACTACATAGGCAAATTCTGTGTTTATAACTTTCGAGTTAACCTGACAATTCAAGGTGGTTCTTGTAAAGATATCGAAGTAGTCGACTTAAAAGTAACTAATGTTATCCCCCTTTCGTATGCGTAGGTTCTTCAGCCGACATTTAGAAGTCAGGTTGATCATTGCTTGTATCAATTTCTGAGCAAGGAACCATGTTCTGACCGTAGAAATGGGCGTGAAAAAGCAATTTAATTTTCTTCTAGAACAATTACTGTCTTCCGGTTGCAAGTGGTAAATTCTTTCGTTAACAAACTGCTGAATAAAAGAGTTAAGTTTTAGCTCTCAAGTGGATGTAACTTCCTCTGCGTTTCATTAAGAATTATCACAATGAACTCCCGACCAATAGCTACTACCTAATTGTGGTGGTCGGGCTTGTATATCACAATGACCCAAGGAGCTGTGTGATATGGGGATAGGGAGGAAAATCTAGTCTGGAGAGGGACCAATCAAGATGTATTTTATGTTATCACGTCTACAGTTAAACGGACAGACGATGAACCAGCCAATCAATAGTACTATTTTAGACCGTGAACTCTATATATTAGATATATTTTCTTTTGTTGTCTTCGATCCTTCGCCCCCAATACACGTTTCTATACTTCCATTGTGTCTTTCCCGTTAATTAGTTGGGTCGAGAATCAACTAAGAGTCTGTTGGACGTTGGTGATTGTCAGTCGATATCTGTGGATTGGGGGGTCATAGCCGTTTCCTAAGCACAGCAATGTGCTGGTGGAACGTTTTTTCCCATGAGGCCTTACCAGAAATGTCTGCTGGGTAGTGGTAAAACGAAGATCAGTTAACGTTAGTGCGGATTCCTACACTATGATTAGGTCCGACGGGCGAAGTCGTACTGTTGGCTGGACGACAGCGTGGCAGCACTTAGGTGTTTGTCTTGGATGATCACCAGTTTCACTCTGATGTTGTTTTTCGTACGGCTAGGGGAGTTAGTATAGGTCGACCCCCAAAATGTCACATTTCCAGTACCCCATGGCATGCTGATGCCGGTGATCTGGTTCCACAGTCAAATTGAAAAGCAATAAACTGGAATCTCAAACCTACGGAAAGGCCGTATGTGGTCGGCCTCAAACAGATGTCTCTTGGGCTCTGCCGTCAAACTAACCCTTCTTTTTCAGAAACCTGAAAAAGGAGTCGAAATACGCTCAGCTACCTTGTGCACATCAGTGCTGCAGACAATGAGCCACACCTGTTGTGTAAGGCTAGTGATACTACCTGTCTGCCCAAACCTCAGGTGGAGCGGGGCTGGAACCCGTGACCCGGCGGTTGAAAGTCTCCTTCCCAAATCAATAAGCTCCACTCAGAAGCAATAGCCTTCCACGGTGTGGGCTTCCGAAAAGTGTCAACCGCCCGCACGTTTCCAGTCGATATAAGATACAATCAAACGAAATATATCCTCCTTACCTCTCTGCTTCTTTGTCTTCACGTGATACCAATATTAGGCCTCTTACATTGTCCTCGACCTTTCACTATGCTACGATTGCAAACGTTCCAGACCACCGAGTCCATTCATAGTCTCCTGATATACCGTTATCGGTTTCATTTCAGAGCCTTCAACTTCTGAATTGGACAGCTGGCATCACTGGCCAGAATTCTAGAATCTCGGGCGACGAATGCTGTGCTTCTGTGACATGATACAGTCCCCGAGTGTGGTTATTAAGTTGACCTCACCTGGTTATTGCACTGGGTTTTCAAAATTCACCTTGTTAGTATCCGGACTCGTCTGTTCGCTGGTGCACACATTGCATTAGGTTGTAGATTAGAAAGTGCGCTTCACGACTGTAAAGCAGTCAACAGCCAGCTGTGTGCTGTTCCACTGAATAAATATATAGGAACTAGGAGGGATAGTGAAACCAACCTACGCCTATTCGTAATCTCCGCTTACGTACCAACCAACTGCAGTTCGGATAATGCAAAGGATAAATTCTCCAGAAAGCTGTCAACCTTGCTCGCGTTTGGTGGAATCACCATGTGGGTAATGTTATGGTCAGTCGACGGGTACTATGCAAGACAGGCGAGTCGATTGGTGAGGTTGTGAACCTTAGTAGACTGAGATGGCTTGGACACGTAGTGCGCATTTCAAGCCACAACCTACCTCTACTTGCGATGCTAGAGTTAGATGATGGTTCACGGTGGCCAGATCAAGGCGTGGCACCAGTCCATGAGGTCCCTAACCGTTAGTTTGAGCCGTGTTGCGAGATGTAGACTGCCTGGTTGGGGTCCTCAAGATGAAAGGAATCAATAGCTGAGGACTGACCCTTAGTGGCATGGCTGAGAATCGACCACAGTGGTGTAGACGTATTGACTCCTTGAACATTTGCAATAACCATTATCTTCAGATTGTTTATTGTCTCACAAAACTTTGCCTATTTTGATATCACTTTTTCCACCCACGCGTTCTTTGCGCCCTGTGAAGTGTGTCAACTTGATCTGATGCATGTGTGCGGGGTTGTTCTTTGATTCTGTCAGTCAGTCATCTGTAGATGGTAGAAGTTTGTGAAAGCAAATTCAACCCTTTTTATTTATGGGGAGGTGTTTTCAGTCACTGACTGACCAGTACTGATCGATTTAATTGAAGATGAAGTGTGGATGCGTCTGTGGTACTGCGATAGAATTCGAGTTCTATTTCTTCAAATTCCAAACCATTGGTCTCGGGTGTCTCACACATTTCCACCAGAAAACCTGGATCTTTGAAGATGGTTCACATAGACAGTCAAAAGTAGTCTTTTTTTCAACCCAATCTTACTCCCAAAAAACATGATCATTCGTGTTAGGGGATGGGTTAGCACTGAACATATGTCGGAATCTACTAGAATGATGGGGCTTTTGACACACAAGAAATCCGTCATAGACAGTCATACCAGCAGCCGCTACCATAGTGGTGTTTGGAAAACACTGACTGAAACTACTACTTTTTAAGATCGTATTGTGCCAAGAAGATTGGCTAGTGAGTGATCGAAAGGAATACTAATGTTATTGTATCGATGCTGAAATTTTGTCGATCACCAATTTATTGGAACTGATACGTGTTGTCAACCAACACAATCATCTCGTTCCTTAATGTCTAACAAGATACGGATGATGACCAGTGCTAAAGTAATAATTTGTATTAGCGGGTTGAGAAATGACGTCATAATATGTAATGAACTTACCCTATACGCAAGCAGAAGGGTACAACGAATATCTGATTTCTTTAGTTTTTTATTGACATTGATGATAACTTCATTATTTTTACGATGAATATATAGTATTAAAGTTGTCAGATGTTCTGTTTAATCATTTATTTCTTGTCTTCTTGGGTTTACATCGGATTTTTTGGTAAACGTTTCTATCCCTCCGCTTTCACTATCTTGTTTCGTAAAGTTCTTCATGTGAATTGTCAAGTCGAATTTGCTTTAAATATGTCGAGGAGAATTCATGAGGTTCAAAGTATGTGAGAGTACGATGACAACATAGGATTACAGTTACCTTTCCCATACGTGTATTCTTCACAAACACCGTTCTGGACTCATCATTGTGATGGTGGAGAAAATAAGTAGCTCACGGTGAGGATGATAACTGTTTTCACTATCACGGCATTAATCTTGTCTTTGCTGAGATTGTGTTTAGAAGCACCCATGCATCTGTTTCATCTAGTATTGTGACATTTTTTTTCACTGCAGATCTGGCCATAATCAATCTTCTGGATACCACTTCTACTCAACTATCGGCTGCGTCTGGATTACATCTCGTAGTGATCAATGGATGTTACCTGTTCAATTTGCTTAAGCATCTTGTTCAAACCAGTTCATCTTCCCTGCAAACACCAATTTTGTAGGGACTGTATAGGTCAGGCAGTCAACTTTACTGCATACCAGTGCCCTATTTGCAGATATAGACTTTCAAACTGGTTACGTAAAGTGAAAGATTTGGATTCTGTAGTGTCGGAAACCAAAGAAAATGAAATTCGAAGCCTCTTTCCAAAATATTACGCTGCCAAAGAACTGGGAATTTCTCCGTCTTTGTCTGAACTTGAACGCAAAAATATGTTAAATGCAAATACAGGTGCAGTTTTTTGAAAATTTTAATTCAACAGTAATCGTCTTAGTGCTAGTATGCTAGAGATATCTTTCTGATTCCTTTCTAATATAGCAAAGCGCAATCCTAAGCTTGATATTGCTAGTTGTCATTGTTTCATTACGTCTCAACAACTTTAACTTGCTTACCACTCATTCATTTCAGATTTCATCCCAAATTGTTCTGCCGAAGCAGGAGATGTGCATGAATATTATGTAAAAGAGGTTGAAAAGTACTCAAGTTTACGCTCTCTGCAAGAGAAAGAAAATGAAGAAGCTTCGTTAGCACTAGCAGCTCAGATTCTATCCGAAGATGGCCTTAGTCTCCTAGCAGATGATATTTCACCTGGTAGGCGTTGACTTTATTGTAATGGTTAGTTAAAACAGAGCATCTGGTTAACGGTTGCAGTGTGATTACAAACAACAGTTCTCCCGTGTCTTCATCCTCAAATGTTACACATATAAACACGAAATGTAAGCGAAAAATAAATAAGAAAACTGCCAAAATAAGTAAGACGTTGTTGGATTATGCTGTCGACACAGACAATGCGGAAATAAATCAAGAAGTCAAAAGTCAACAGGTAACTGTCTTATGAGTTTCATGGATCTTTTTCATGAATAAATGGGTTACATTTTAAGGATGCTAATATTGCTGTTGCTCATCAACTTAGTTGCTTCACTTTCAACTTGTCTGGCACGTACTGGGATTCCGCTTCACGTAGTGCTGCTTGGGAAACTGAAACTTATGACAAGCTTGCATACATTATGTTTGGCTCTTTGCTCTGAACAACTTCATATAGTTTATTTGATATAGACAGCGGGTAACACAACACTACTTACTGGATAGCGTTTAAACCAGAATTTATTGCTCATAATCATATGGTAGGAGTATTGTTTGTATTTTGTAAACGTGAAGAGATTATACAAAGCACTTTTCTTACTTGAACTTCAATTAATAGTCACCTACTGGTTAATTCTGTGATATGAATACACTTAAATAGCTCACTTGGTTTAAGCCATGTAGGGCAATGCAGACTAGGTGGTTAGGGTCCGCAGGACAAGAGGAACCAGTGGTTGGAGACTCTAGGTAATATGGCTCAGAACCGATGTCAGTGGCGCAGATGTATGCACACATTATCCTCATCTTAACAACGCTATACCGAATCTCACCATTTTGTCGTTCCTCCTTCCTTTCTTCTCGTACTTTATATTTCTTTTGACTGCATTCACTTATCTTCATCCTTCACCTCACTACCTTTCCTACTTGATGAACTGACGTGAGGTGTTGCAACTCGGACCGTTACGCAGTAATGCCTGGTCCTATGTTGATATTGATTGAAATAGCTCACTTGAGTTGTGATACCCGTAATTTGTAGCTTTGACTTGTGATCAAACAAAATAATATGCGTTCATTTAAAAAAGCTAAAGTTTCCCCTCGAAATACTCTTAAATGGCAGTATTTCCACCGACTTCACATGGTGTTGTTACCACAGTTGGGTGTCTGACGCTTATCGCCTGTGAATACTACAGATTGACTTAAGCAGTAAACATGTAGCGCGCATATACCTAGGACCCAGAAGGAACCAATAATGTATTAGTCTACTCAGTTTTTCAGCAACCATCGGGTGGATTAAATGACAAGCCAACGACTTAAGGCGTAATCCTGTGAGACAATCATCTGTCTTTGTGTGATCATTCAGTCAGTATTTCAACATTTACACAAATCATGATGGTATAATGCCATAGGGAAAATTACTGACCACTTTACACCATTCGCTCCGTAGAAGTGAAGTAGTACACTTAAACCGAGAGATGGCCAATCTGTGATATGACGGGTTGGGTAACGAACAGTTTTACTAACCTGACATCTGTTGGTGTAACACAGCTGTAAATAAAACCCAATAAACCACACATCTCAGTCGTTTGAAGTGCTGTGACAGCTTGCGATCGAAACTAGTGGTGAACTCTAGTTTCCATGGCCCTTTCATTTTTAAACAAGTAAACGTAATGAAAGACTATTAAATGTATCGTGTTTGGCCACATGTTCTTCAACTGCGTACTTTCATAATATCTGGTACATTACTTTGTTTGGTGTATCTGGTGGTTCGAATTTTGTGCAGAAACCACGTGTACATTCGTTCCAGAGATCTGTTCGTACTTCGTTGTAAAAATCCACCTACCGCCTATCTCGTCGTGTCATGGCTAGAGGAAGTTGGAAGAGGGTTCAGCGTAGCCGGACGAAAACGTGGCACCAACCCATGAAATCTCTTACTGTTGGTCCGAACCGCGTTAAGACATGTACACTACCTGGCTGATGTGATCGAGATGAAAGGAATCAGTGGCTGAGAACTGACTATTGGTGACATGGCTGAAAGTCGATCACAATGCTGCTGATGTATTCACTCTTTGACATCTTCAAAAGCTTGAATATTCGCACTAACCTTTATCTTCACATTGCTTATTCTCTTACACTATCTTGTCTACTTTGATAACATTCTTTTTCTATCCACCTGTTCTTTGTATACTACCATGAGGTGTGGCAACTTGAACCGATGCACTTGTGTTTGAGGTTCTACACTGATTTTGTCTGACTCGATATATATTGTATGGGGAATTATGGTGGTTTGGTGTTCTCTGAGCTCTGATATTTTGTCGTGAATGTTTCATCACTAGACTTGGAGACATCTTCAGCTCAGTGAGCACTAAACCCCTATCATCCTCATCCTGAGCTACAAATCTTCTCCGTCATATAGGGAATTTTAACCAGAACAACACAAAATAATTTGATGGGGATCCAAGTTATTTATAATAATAATAATGATTCTTGTGTTGTATTCAAAAGTTGAGACAGAATGTATTTTTGGTAATAATTGACCAAACGGTTGCACCAGACTGGTCATTCCTCTCACTATTTTAAGGTTTTGTATGAGGATAAACACTTGCATGTGTTAGGCAAAAAATAAAAGGATAAAAATACAGTAGCTGATACTACTAATTGAATATGTGTTCTTTTTCTTGGTCTCCTTTCCACTCTTTACAGTTGTTGGACATTTAGCCTAATAACATATTAGCAATAATTTTAGACCACGATTTTATGAATTCAACTTTCTACCGTTTGAATGTTCCGGATGCACTAGTTTACGATTTTTCTTGGGTAACCATCCGGACTTTTCAGCCTAATATATTGCTCTCTTTTGCTGAGATCCTCTAAACTAATCATTTCTGTAAAACTGATATGACAAACAGAGACAAAGTCAACATAGAACCTTGTACAGAAGTGCATCCGTCCAGGTTGCCACCTTTCACAGCAGGATGCAAAGAACGCATGGATAAAAGAGTAGTGATATCAAAGTCGATGTGTATGGGGAGAGAATTTGATAGTAAAGGTCAGTGGAAGTATTCAAGCTTCGGAAAACATTAAAAGGTGAATATATCTGCGTCATTGTGACCGATTCTCAGCCAATTTCTTCAACGGTCTCCAACCATTGGTTTCTGTTACCTTGAGGATTCCAACCGGTCAGTCTACAGCTACCTATGCGGCTCACACCAATAGTCAGAGACTTCGTGGATGGGTCCCACGTCTTGGTCTGGTCACCATTGACCTTCTCCCAACCTAATCCTGTTTTGGCTGGTACGCTGTGTCGAAGCGGGCGGTAGCTTAGTATGTGTCCAAGCCATCTCAGTCGGTGAGCGTTCACAACCTCTTCGACCGACTTGCATGTTTTGCGGAGCGCATTTCGTCCAGCCGTATAATTGCTAACACGGTGGTCCCACCATACGTAAGTAAACAGTGCTTCGAAAACACATGTGGTCAAAAACCTGTTGTCTGTTAACTTATGCTTTCGATGGCCACGCCTCACAGTCGTATAATAGGACAGAGAGGACTGCAATGCAGTACGATTGTCCCCATACGTGCAGTCGGATACCTCACTGGTGCCAGAGATGACATACGTTTATTTTGTCGGCGTTTTCGCATAGCATTTTCACACTGTGTGCGTACTTCAAGCTAATCAGGTACCCCTCCTGAGAAAAATTCATTGAGGTTTTAGGTAGACACTTTCATGTAACCCACAGTACATGTGCAATACGTAACAAAATAACTTCTTGTTATACTACAGATTTAATCGCTTCTGCTTCATCTACTTGTGTTTTGTGTAGACTTGCTGAGAAATCGCATCTGTGAACACGCATAATAGTGCACGAAATTACTGGTATGATCTCTAGCGAGTCTAATTAGTCATTGCGATATATTGTTGGCGTCTGTTATTGCAGTTTATACAACGAAGGTTCTCTGAGTGTCAAGACATCCTGACGTTTGCTTTCTTGTAGATTCTGCGTGACGAAACGTTCGCTCGGAGGTTGCAGGCGCAGTATTCAAAGTTACTAAGTAACTTAGGAGAACATAAACTTCCCAAACGCAGAAAATAACTTTTTTTTATTGCTTAGAACTGTTTTTTTAATTTGCAGTTATTCATACTTGTTAAATTATAAACACTAAATACTATACGGCTTTCTGTAATTCTGGTTGACAGACGATAGTAATTTTATGTTCATGTAAAACTGCGACTGGTTCAGAAATTCGATAGTTCGACTTTCTATGACAAAACCACATAGAAATTGTGTACGAATTTACCGTACACCTCAAGCGTTCGAAAGCCGACCACAAACGTGATACGGACTTATGGAGACTAAGAAGAAGGTAAATTTATTTGATGCTGGTGAATAGACGATAAAACCACTTCTCAAGCAACGGTGTAGTTATAAGATAAAAAAAGATGATTAGAGTATGGTTTCAAAAGTCTGCTGGATGCTACAGCTCATATCGTGCCAAGGCTACACCAATCATTCACTTCAGTATGAATAAAATGTTACAGTTATTTAAAAAAATGACGACAGAGTGAACGCTAGGAATAATTTACTGAGGGATAGTGATTGGAACAGAGTAAACACCTGGCAACATCTCATTTCTAATGAGTAGGAGTTGGGTACCGTTTTAGTCTTCGAATCTCATGTTCGTTTGTTGTTTAAATATTTCATCCCCTTAATGTTTTATCAGCAATGAAAGAGAAGAATTTGTAGCAGAGACTGATTAAATGGTCTTATACCATACAGATACTTTAGACGTTGAATTAGTAGTGTGATGCTGAAACGTGCAATGTCAAATGTGACCTGACAGAGAAGACTAAGTTCACCAGTCCTTCTCATACATTTGAAAGGAATACGTCTACAATTACCATCGCCCTAGTGTTCTAAACAGATATGGCGTGTCCTCACTTCTGCACTTGCCAGAAAAACGTTGGTATTAGCTGAAGCGTGAAGAACGGGTTAACGGAATCCTATGAGTTGCGGTCAAAATTCAAAATATAAGGATAAAAATCAAATTGATTACAAAGATAACCAACGTTGAACCTTTATACATAAGTGATTTTAACAAATAGTTACACTTCGTATCTAATAACTGAGTTTTTATACATGTACACAGAAAAATACATATACAACCACCGGAACCAAACTAACTGTGATTTATGGCTGTACATACTGACATATGGAAGGTGTATGAATTTGAATGGAGAACAAATAAACTTTTCTGCGAATAAAATGGAAAGAAAGAGGTCAATAAAAAAACAATATTTGCGTATAGTAGAGACACTTCGTAAGCAGTATAAGTGAGGAATAAGTTTGTCTCTACGAGCTTCCTTCAAGACTTTACCAAGTGTACAGTGATTTTTGTGTCCACTTACACCATAGTCGTCAAAGCTTATGATGGACTGAGAACAAAAATCTTGACATGTCCCACAAACAAAATTAACTAGTTCTTCTTTCGACCAAGACGCATTGGGCCCATCTTTAAATTTGTCCGAGTCAATGATTGCTAAATGTCTAACTCCCAATTTCTTCGTGGCACAACTCAATTCAAGTTTTCTATCTTGGCCAAGTCCATTGTAATCTCCAGTTGTTAAACACAACAAATCGACATCATATCCTGCGTACAATAAGTTCAGTATAGTGGGTGCGAAAAACATAGATTCATCATCTGGGTGTGCAGTAACAACGAGAACTGGATCTTTTATTTTAATTCTTTTGCGTTGTGTGACAAAAATAAAACATATCCATAAGAGAGAAAGCAGTATGTTGCATCCAATAACTAAAACAAAATGAGATAATCAGTTAGACAATCAGAGCATAATCTGTAGGTAATTAGCTGTATATCTCTACTTGGGTATTTCAAAGGTTCACCATTTCTAATAGCATACTGATAAGCAAGGTAGAGGCAAAGGTAATTTAGTTCTTCTTGAGTGACAGTTTGTAAGCGTATTGCTGGTATTTACTTAGATTCTTGAAGTATGGTGTCGCTGAGTAATTTCAATGGTTACACTGATGAACTTACGTTTCACAATGTGCTTTCAACGACACCCAGATTGACAGACATGGTTGTATATTCTTCCGGAGTGCGACCTTCACTACTACAACCAGTGAAGATTATATTATTCCCACTTAAATATCGTCTTAAATACCTTGACCGGGTGGTCGGGCTTGCATATCACAATGACCCAACGAGCTATGCTGGTGGAACGCTTGTTCCCTCGAGGTCCTACCATACCAGAAAGGTCTGTTGGATAGTGGTTAGACGAAAAGCAGTTACCGTTATAGTGTAAATTGCTACACTATGATGGGGGTCTGAGGGCGAAGTCGTACTGCTGCTAGCTGGATGGGGTGTGACAGCAGTAAGGTGTTTCCCTTGGATGACCAGCAGTGCCATGCTGATGCTGCCTTCTCAGTGGAAGGGGGGGTTAGAAAAGGTCGGCCCCAAAAATAACACACTCCACCACGCCCCACGGTCTGCCGGGCCGGCGGTGTTGGTTCACTTGTCGTTTCCTTTCGACCATCCGGCCCCAAAAATACAAAAGTTCAAAATAATCATACTCAAAAGGCTGGGTGTGACAGGCCTCAAGCAGATGTCCGATGGGCTCTGCGGTCACACAAATCTCTTTCAGGTACCTTAAGAAGAAATAGCCTTCCACGGTGTGGGCAGCCGGGAAGTGTCAACCGCCCTCACAACTCTGTCAGCACCCAAGTTTCTTCTGACTGCTATCCTCCTCCTCCATCATTACCTTCTAATCTTCCTTCACGTCTCTTAATTAATGATGCTGCATCATCTTCAATTTCTCCTACCTCTGCAGCCTTCGACAACGATCTGAGTCCACAGAACAGCATCCCTGGTCTCCTTAAACCACGCTCCAAATTACATATTGGAGCCTTCAATGTCCGCACCCTCCGTCAAATTGGCCAACAGGCTTCGTTGGCAAAGACTCTAGCAACTCGGGCATGGATGTGTGCTGTGTTTGTGAGACACGCATACAGGACCCAAGTGTGGTTATTCACCTGACCAATCTGGTGAATCTGCAAAATTCACCCTTCGAGTTTCTGGAGATTCGATAGCTAGCTCTCGTGGTCTTGCAGGTGTAGGTATAGCATTAAGCACCAGGGCAGAAAACTCACTACTAGACTGGATCCCAGTTGATAGTCGCCTCTGCGCTATGAGGCTGAACGGCACAGTGAGAACTAAAAGGAATAGTGAGACTCGCCGTTGTCTCTTTGTAATCTCTGCTTACGCACCCACTGACTGTAGTTCGGATGAAGTGAAGGACGAGTTCTACCATAAACTGTCTAACCTCCTCTCGAAAGCCAAACGTTCGGACGTAGTGGTTGTTGCAGGTGACCTCAACGCACAGGTGGGTAGACTGAGTGAGGCAGAAAGGCACTTAGGTGGCACTTTCGGAATCCCAGCTGAACGTACAGATAACGGTGATCGCCTATTACAACTATGCTCAGATAACCGCCTATTTTTAGCCAGCACAAATTTCAGACATAAAGAAAGGCACTGTCTGACCTGGCGTCCACCGAGCTCGACTCAGCGATGGACACAGATAGACCACATTGCTATTAGTCATCGCTGGAGAGGATCGGTGGAAGACTGCCGCTCCTTCTGGAGTACGTGTTTGGACAGCGATCATGCGTTGGTCCGAGCACGTATATGCCTGCGTCTCAATGGACGTAGAAAAAATTTGGCAACAAAACCACTACGAGTTCTGCTGGACAACGAAAACACCAAAGCCGTGTTCAGTGAGAAGTTGGCTAGGCAGTTATCGGAACAAAAGACTGTCACTCATCCAGAAGAAGCTTGGTGCCATCTTCAGTCTACTGTAAAAGCAGCACTGGAGACTGTAGCCGACTCCAAGATAATGGCTAAAAAGAGCCAGTGGATATCAGCAGCTTCTTCCAAACTAATGGATGCACGTGAATGCATCCCTGCAGGCTCTGAGTACAATGAAGAGCGAGCGCAACTTAAAAATAACTGACGAAAAGTCTGCGCAACGATCGTGAACAGTGGTGGGCAGCAAAGGCTAAAGAGATGGAAAAGGCAGCGGCGATCGGTAACAGTAGACAGTTATTTAGACTTATTAAGGAGACTGGGGGGAAATGGTCAACAACAGTTAGTGAGGTTATAGCGGAGAAGGACGGATCTGCGATTCACTCGCAGGGAAGGCGACTGGGACGATGGGCAGAACACTTTGAGGAACAGTTTAACTGGCCTCCAGCCACCATTGCGCTGCCCGCTATCCAGTCGGACCCTGAATGGGACATAGAGACAGGTCCCCCAACACTAGAAGAAGTTGAGAAAGCGGTAGGTAGCCTGAAACGGGAAGGGCAGCAGGACCAGACGGACTACCTGCTGAGGTATACAAGAATGGTGGTAGAGTTCTCTTAGTCAGGCTAACGGAAGTGTTAGCCAGTATATGGGAATCAAATACGATCCCCTCCGACTGGTCTAAGTCACTCATCATCCCAGTCTTCAAGAAAGGCGAGAAGTCCTCTTGTGATAACCACAGAGGAATCAGCCTGACAAACATAGTGTCTAAGATCCTAAGTTCTATAATTCTCCGACGCCTGAGTGGAGCTCGGGAACAGCAAGCCCGAGAAAACCAGGCAGGCTTTAGACCTGGCCGTGGATGTATCGACCAAATATTCACACTGCGCCAGGTCCTGGAACATAGGCATGCTTACAGACGCCCGACAATAGCTGTATTTCTCGACCTGAAGGCGGCATTTGACTCCGTTGATCGAGAAGTCTTATGGCAGTGTCTGTCACTGAAAGGCGTGCCTAGTAAGTACATCACCTTATTGAAAGCTCTCTACTCGAACACTTGTGGGCATGTTAGAGCCTATGGTGAGTTGTCCAGGGAGCTATACTCATCAAGTGGTGTCCGTCAAGGATGCCCACTATCCCCATTCTTATTTAATTTTATCATAGATATTCTTATGGAGGTTTCCCTCTCGTCACCTAATTACACAAACGTTGACCCGATCACAGGTGAATTTTCCTTAGATCTAGAATATGCAGATGACATAGTCCTGTTAGGTGAAGACGCTGACAAGATGCAGAGTCTTCTGAACACTTTGAGTGGGAATTTGAGAATGTTTGGGATGCGATTTTCACCACCCAAATGCAAATTTTTGCTCCAGGACTGGTCTTCAGCGGTACCGCGGTTAACAATAGAGAGTGAAGTGGTTGAGTGTGTTGACCACTTCACTTACCTGGGAAGTAGGATCAACCCGGTGGGTTAGTTGCCGATGAGATTTCTGCACGGATACAAAAGGCTCGATTGGCTTTTGCCAATTTGCGCCACCTATGGCGCCGCCGTGATATTCGTTTGTCTATTAAGGGTCGCGTGTACTGCACAGCAGTCCGCTCTGTTCTACTGTATGGCTGTGAAACATGGCCATTGAAAGTGGAAGATATAAAAAGGGTTCAGGTGTTTGACCACCGTTGCCTTCGTAGTATAGGACGTATTCCGTGGTGTCACCATGTGAGTAATGCAGAAGTTAGGTGTAGAGTTTTGGGAGAAGAGGTAAGTCAGTCGACGAGGTTGTGAACCTTCATCGACTGAGATGGTTGGGACACGTACTACGTATGCCTAGTCACCGATTGCCTCGTCACACAATGTTGGCTGAGGTGGGTTCAGGCTGGAAAAAGGCCCGAGGTGGCCAGACTAAAACATGGCACCAATGTATGAAGTCTCTGACTGTTGGTTTAAGCCATGTAGGGGCGATGCAGACTAGGTGGTTGGGGTCCACGGGACAAGAGGAACCAGTGGTTGGAGACCCTAGGTGATATGGCTCAGAACCGAAGTCAGTGGCGCAGATGTATACACACATTATCCTCATCTTAACAACGCTATACCGAATCTCACTATTTTGTCACTCCTCTTTCCTTTCTTCTCGTACTTTATATTTCTTTTGACTGCATTCACTTATCTTCATCCTTCACCTCACTACCTTTCTACTTGATGAACTGACGTGAGGTGTTGCAACTCGGACCGTTACGCAGTAATACCTGGTCTTATGTTGATAATGATGGTGCTGACCGGATTTTATTTCTTTTCTTTACGTCGACAGACGATAACCTGGCAACATCCTTTGAGACCGCAAATCGGTTGATGTTGTATGAATTCGCTACGCATTTTCAAACGCTACTCCGAATACAGTAGTGAGACAAGTGTTGTGGCATAGCGTCGAGTAGGGTTTAGGTAAATGAATCAATAAATCAATATCAACATAGGACCAGGCATTACTGCGTAACGGTCCGAGTTGTCACACCTCACGTCAGTTCATCAAGTAGAAAGGTAGTGAGGTGAAGGATGAAGATAAGTGAATGCAGTCAAAAGAAATATAAAGTACGAGAAGAAAGGAAGGAGGAGTGACAAAATAGTGAGATTCGGTATAGCGTTGTTAAGATGAGGATAATGTGTGTATACATCTGCGCCACTGACTTCGGTTCTGAGCCATATCACCTAGGGTCTCCAACCACTGGTTCCTCTTGTCCCGCGGACCCCAACCACCTAGTCTGCATCGTCCTACATGGCTTAAACCAACAGTCAGAGACTTCATACATTGGTGCCATGTTTTAGTCTGGCCACCTCGGGCCTTTTTCCAGCCTGAACCCACCTCAGCCAACATTGTGTGACGAGGCAATCGGTGACTAGGCATACGTAGTACGTGTCCCAACCATCTCAGTCGATGAAGGTTCACAACCTCGTCAACTGACTTACCTCTTCTCCCCAAAACTCTACACCTAACTTCTGC